TAACATATAATTAGTTATTATTTTATTAAGTTGATTTTAAATTATAATAACTTTAACAATGTAATTAATATTATTATAAAGTATATTTATTTACCTAATACATAATATAATAATTAATAATACTTCTGTCAGCTAGTTTAAAACAATTTTTGTGAAGTGGGTATACGCATATTTTTCAGCGCATACTTCCTGTCTCAAGTTTTTTTATTTAGTATGTTCTCTTTTAAAAATTTGAAAAGTGGGTATGCGCCGCATAATATAAATATATTTATTTATTATTATTATTTATAATTTATAATGTATAATTCATACATATCTAAGGTTCCGAGTCTCGCTACCTACTCTACATCGGTAATTATTATTCGAATAATTATATTATATTTTTAATACTATCTGCACGGGTTTTCAACAACATTGTGGTTATGACCACGATTAAAAATATTATTTATGGTTATGAATTATGACCACGATTAAGAGTTATTACAATGTATTATCATAATATTTGATAAAACTGAGGATTATTACAGAATATCTTTATTCATTCCATTTATAGATTATATTTTAAATCAATTAAATGATCGATTTTTAACTCACGGATCTATAATTGAAAATTTTAACTCTATTTTACCATCATCCAATAGTATACATAATGAAGAAAAAATTAAGCAGCTAGTTGAAATGCATCAAGGCGATTTAGACTGCAAGTGTGAACAAGCAGCTGTGAGCGAAATTAAAATTTGGAAACAAAAATTTACAGTAACTAAAGATTTACCAAAAAATGCCATCGACGCTCTTCAAAAATGTAACATATCAATATTTCCTTCTACTTTCAAACTTTTACAGATTTTAGCAACTCTCCCAGTCACAACTGCTAGCAGTGAACGATCTTTTTCTGCATTAAAAAGATTGAAAACATATTTACGAATCGCCACATGTAAAAATAGGTTGAATGGTTTGGCAATGATGAATATACATAGTGATATAATAACAGACCCTGATGATGTCCTAAATAAATTAGCGACTTAAACAAGAAGACTACGGTTGATGTAAATTTTTTTTTTTTTTCAAAGTTTATTAAGGCTTCAACAACACAGGTTTTTAGCCTACTTTAGTTAAAATTTATACAAGAAAAAGAAAGGAAAATATATATATGTATACATTAAATTTTGGAATAMATTTTACTACATTATTATAGTTATTATTTACAATGGGTATTTAGTGTTTGATGTAAATTGTAATGTAATTAAAATATTGTTTGATATTAAATGCTTTAATTTRAGTACAATACAATTTGAAATAATTTGTTTTATGTATACCTACCTATTGTATAGACCTAAACCGTAAACCCCCGTCACCTCATAGAAAAATCCTGATTACGCCAATGTYCACAATGTCCACATATTTGACTGTAAATGTTTATAGTGCTTATACATTTACMWTATTGATTTCAATTTAATAAATCATATTTCACTTCCAAGTAGTAGCGTAGTAGTACTAATATATAACTAATATTATTACCTATATCTGACCAACAATCGATATGTAATATGTTGTATTAACTAAAAATAATATCGAAAACGTAAGGCGCAACTGGTGGTTAATATTTATTAAATTTTAATAATTTTTTGAAAACAAATATTATTTTACTAAATGATTATTTTGAAAATTCCAAAAATTGAAACTGCTTAGAAATGTGTTATTTATTTTCAAATTTACGCCATCAAATTGAATTTTATTATAGTTTGCTKTTTTCCGTAGAAATTTGAATTWATTCATCAATATATTAATAAAGAAATATATAATATATAATATTAATAAAAACATTTTTATAATAAAATATCATAACTATAAATATATAGTTATACAATTGTCAATTATAACCTATTATGAATAATAGCTACAATGTACATAATATAAATTTTAACAAATTCTATGCACGGCCTTTCCAAAACATAAAACCACCAATCAATATAATTAACTTAATGTATACTAAAATCCACATAGTTGCAAATAACCTTGTTTTTTAGATTGAATAATGTACCAACTAATTTTTGAATATTGGGGAGGGGGGCTTATTTGGAATTTAGAGATACTAAATCGTCTAAATCCCCTAAAGCCAACTTCTATTTGAGACAATTGTCAAGTTTTTTAACTTGTATAAGATAAACTTCATTGTGATTTGTAAGTACAGCCAATATATTTACATTGCTCACCATTATTCCATATAGGTAGTCTCATAGGCGCAACTAGGGGGGTGCTTGGGGGTGCTTCAGCACCCCCAGATCAAAAACACCAAAAATGGAAAAATCATATGAAAAAGTTTTTTTTGTTTTACGTAAGGTTGTTTAAATATTGAATGCCTGTTTCATCAACATAAATTTAGCCCCCAGTGAAATAGTAAGTTTACATACATGAAACATTAATTTATTGGTAGAATAAATTAAAATATGGGAATTAGAACGCTTCAGTTTAGTAATAGTACATTGAGATTTCATTATTTTATCAAGGTAATATGCGTTTTGTATATTGCACTGTAGTCGTCATTAAATGTCATGACTCATGAGTCATGAGTAAATTACCAAAATCTAACAATGTGTCTAATGGATTTCCGTCATTTTTGCTATAAAAACTGAATACTATTGAATATCTCAAAAGTTAACATTTATGTTTTTGGAGACGAGTATGTTCAAATTGTCACC